AGTTGCATTCTCTTAATGAATAGAATGATTTGTTCTAATGGTGTTTGTAAATAGGATCTCAAGTCCGCATCTTGTACAGCAATTAACCACTAAGAATATATGCAATGTGTTATTTGTTGAATCTGTACTTCCGATTTGATTTGAAACTGTCTCATTGCTGTTTATCAATAAAATTTTGAAAAAAAAAAGCTTACAGCATCAAAATAACTATCTATCTATCTATCTATCTATCTATCTAAAACCCTTCATCCTTAGGGGTTTGGGAGATAGGTCAGTAGAATAAGCACTTGCCTGGCAAGTGCAAGGTCCTGAGTTCAGTCCCCACCTGGTAACACCAAAAAAGAAAAAATGAATATTATATTGATACAGTTTACTGCCAGTGATGATGTAATCCAGTAATACCCTTTTAAAGGCCATTTATCAACAGGATATAAACACAATTACATAAGCCTTTAATCATTAGTCCTTTTTTTTTTTAAGAGTAGCATTTCTTTCTTTTTTGGGGTGGGGGTAGAACCAGGGATTGAACTCAGGCCTATGCGCTTGACAAGGAGGCGCTTATTCTACTGAGCCATCTTCCTGGCCCTTCATTAGTCCTGTAACAGAAGAAAAATCATGAGGCTTATTCCAGGATTACCTAAACAACTAAGAACCAGAAAAGAGGAGGATTAATTGGAAAAAAAAAAAGTCTAGGTGAAAATGCAAAGTAAAACAGGTATATATACAAGTTCTTTGACATAAAAGAAGTGCTTAATAAAAATATCAAAGTACTACACAAATTTTTTCAAACTTGTTAATTTTTTTTAAGAGGGGGGTCTTGCTATGTAGCTCAGATTGGCCTTGAATTCTCTAGGTACCCTAGGCTGGCCTTGAACTCATGGCAATCCCCTTGCCTCAGCCTCCTAAATACTGTAATTATAGGTGTGTGCCACCACACCAGGTTAAAATGTTTTACTTATAAATTACTTTTGTTTTTATATTAAGGAAGAAAAATATACTTTATATAAGTTGTACAGGAAAAACTGTTTCACTAGTAACTTAAAAAATATTCAAAGCCAGGTGAAGTTGCCTACAATCCCTGCTCTCGGAAAGCTGAGGCAGGAGAATCTTGAGCTCAAGGCCAGCCTAGACTACACAGGAGGCCTTGTTTCAAAAACAAAACAAAAATAATTTATCTTATTAGAATACAACCATAAAGATGAAAAGTAGATTCTAAGTGTAGATCATTTTCCTTTTCAAAGCTATCAGAGTAACTTACTTAGAAAGAATTCCTCGAAGTCAGTTTTCTCCACACAGCTAGTATACATGCGCAGGGCTGCAATCTTAATCTTCTAGACAAAAAAATAAAAATAAAAAATAAAACCAAACTCAAAACATGACCAAGTGGATGCTCTAGCGTCATTAGATGTGAGATACAGAATCTTAGATTTCTTCAGCTGGAAGGGTCCAGATATGTCTTTATCTCTAGGCAATTTAAACTTAATGCAGGAATTTTTCCTTTCTTAAAGCTAGCCATTCATCATGGACTTTATGCAATGTTCACACTTTACAGTTTTATACGAAAATGTTGGAGGTTTTTCCAATATTTAAATAAAATCTGTCTTTAATTCCAAATCATTTTCATCACATTTGCTCAGCATTATCCACATTAACTCTTCGTATTCTGAAGTCCCTTTTATTAAATATCTGCCAATATTTCTGTCCAAAACCAAAAAAACCTTCAAGCCTTTTTTAATCTTTCTTCAGAGGCACTACTAATTAGTCTAAAAGTACTATTTAGTACTTTTTTGAGAGTGGTTCCTTTTTCTATACTGTCTTTAGTTTTAATAAGTCTGTAAGTTTAATAAGTTTACACATATAATATTATATATTCA